ATAAGTTGAGAAAAAACGACTGGAATTGATCAACGGAAAAGGAGTGGTCTTTCACCATGATAACGCCAGACCACACATATCTTTTTCCACTCAGTAAAAATTGAGAGAGCTTGGTTGGGAAATGTTAACGCCGTTAACGTGTTAGTATAGATACTATCAACCAGTATGTACTGGCGGTGCAAGAATATCTACCACCCCATATCGTATATACGCCGCGCTCCTGGCAGGCCTCTTCTCATTTTTGAGGGGTTTTAGTGCAAGGAATAAAAAGAAAAAAAAGAAAAAGAAAGAAAAGAACCGTGCTGCCCCAACGCGTGATGGCGGACATTTTTTCAATTTCTCAGACATGTAGGTTTCCTCACTATGTTCCCTTTATCCCCGAGGACTTGGTAAATCAACACTTATAATTGAAATTAACAATGTCATTTTTTGCCGGCGGGAATCAAATCTAGTTGTTCATGTATTATTAAATTTGTATTTAAAATTATTTTAATTTTTACCATGCACATGTACATTTCACTTACTAACCAATTTTCACATAAATTACATAGTGAAAGACTGAATTCTTCAGCGTAGGAATTTATTTATTATTTTTCTGTTAATTTTGATAATTTTTTACTTTAAGAAAGTGACTCCGATGTACAGGAGGCTAAAAAGTCTATATCTAATCTGCATCAAGTTTAGTTCAGTCATGTGAACAATGTTTTTATTTAATACGTATACACATACATATAAACAATAATTCAAATGTTAGGTACATTTTCAGCAAATATACTTTTTGTTTGCTCTCTAGTCTCCACGATATTTTCATATATTATGTACTTACTTAAGTCAGCTCCTTACAATTTTATTATGTACGGGTTCGAAATATGAACTACTTAATATTAAAAAGTACAAATGTGTTATCTACCGGACACTTACGTACGTATTAGCAGACCTTAGAGGAGCCTGTAAGTCGCGATCACTAAGTCAGCCTGTTTTGCCATTTATAATAGTCTAGTAGAATAAACTCGTTAACAAATACCCTAAGAGATTATACATTTAAAGCTGCTATTCCGAGTCTTATTAAGACGTAAATCAAACGAAAAGACATCTTAACTACATACGTGCACACATGTTTTAAAATTGGGTAAATTATGTTATCTTCTTATTTAAGAAATATCAGGATAGAATTGTGAATAAAGTGGCACTGTGTGAGCCTAATTTTTCGATAAGTTACTACTACGTACAATTCGATTTAAAACATCGCAGTCTTCATTCAAATTATTACATTGAAACGTTTATTTTACAAGTTATTGCATCTACAGTGCATATTATGTATACGCAATACAGTATAGGATCTGAGAGGAGTTAAAAGTAGAAAGGGTCACAGGTGTTTTTTTATTGTTCAATCAAAAACAATCATTCAAGATTTACCTACAGCTTAGGCGGATATGTATACTTAACAGTACCTACTTAGCACATGTTCTTGTTTTCGCTTTTTTATTTAAGTGACACTGTTTTAGTTTTGAAAGTTAAAAATGTCCCCGAAAAACGTCCTTCATTATATGTCTGTCAATTGTGAATGTCAATTGTGAAACAGAAAAAATATAGACCTTAAAATAGCGGATAGCAAAAAAGTTCTTAACAACAGTCACAATAAGATCCATTATATGTATATTGTGATTGTGGTTATTATATGTGTTGCGTTTTGTATCTTAGTTGCTTAGTAAAATAGGGTGTGTAAGTAGACGTTTGTTTTTGGAGTTGTCCGGCTAGTGTACGTCACCTTGCGCGACCTTATACAAGGCATGACTCACCGCAGTTATGACCGACATACATTGGACCATACTGACCATAGTGATGTTAAAGCAGACATGGGCAAAATTTTTAAATCTTTGAACGTGAACAAAACTTTTGTTAAGCTTATTAAAATATACTCACTCACGTGAGACAGGTGAGACGACCCACTACGGTGTGAAAATAGAATTGGTGAGATTATGAGAGCGAGTTGTTAAGTCTTAAGATTAGCCTAGGTGTTAAGTCTTAAGATTAGACTAGGTTTAAAATAGTTAAATTAAAAAAAAATATATAGCCGTTTTCATGTTTTGCTCAAGAGTTAAGTGCTGGCCGTAAATCTCGCAAGATCCTGGCTTCAATCTCGCGGGCACGATGAGCGTTAACAATAACAATAAAAAAACAATGACAATAATAAGTTTGTGAAGAATCGACGCTCCGGGAAATCTGCAGTCTGTGAACACGTACAGGATCGCCCCCGTCACTACATCAGATTTGATAGACCGCAGATCCTTGCTAAAGAACACCGATTCCTTCCAAGGATGATTCGCGAGGCTATTGAAATCAAAAAACATCGTAATTTCAATAGAGAAGATGGCTGGGTGCTACCATCTGCTTGGGATCCTATAATAAATAAAATTAAATCCCAACCCAAGCATACAACTGCAAGACTTCAAGATACCATAAGTTCTATGCATAGATCGGAACAAAAGTTAAAATTTTAATCTATGGTAACCGCGGTTAACTATGACATATGGACGTTGAACATCTCAGTCCTGCCCGTGACCATGAGTGCTGTAAAGCGTTCGAAACGTCGGGTATTTAAAAGTTAAATATACGCGATAAATTCCGTAAAAACTAGTATTATTTCAATGTGTAGTGTTCGCGTAAATATAAGAAATCATTAGACAATAATAAGTGTTAAAAAGTTTAAACTACATTGATAACTTTGATGATTCTAGTGATAATATCGGGTCACAATCATAAAACTATTGTATTGTCGTTGGTTCTTTCTACGTCTGCAAAATGTCAGATTAATGAAGGAGTGAATAAAAACTGGTTTAAAACTATTAAAACAAAAAATACAATAAGCTAATAAAAGCGTAAATGTTTGAAAATACCTTTTTGTATAAAATTGATTTACGTTGTATAAGAACTAACGATCTAAATTCACCGTACTTCATTAATTTTTTTAGTTTGTTTTTAAGCAAGCTGTATTTTGTTTTCGACTGCACGATAATAAATAATAAGCACAGATACCTATTTTACAAAATATAAAGTAAACGCTTTTTTGCCTTGACATAAATTCCACCGACTATTGAAAAAGGAACATTTTGAGATCACACTAATTTCACAGCCCATTCAATCAATCTGTGAGTAATTATTTGTCAATAATTACTCACAGATTGATTGAAAAAAAATAATAATCCATGGATTAATGTGTTTGACATTGGCAGTACGAAAGTAGTCAATAAATGTTTTATTTAAAGAAATTTATTGTATTTGTAACACATAGTATTTTAAGTTTTGCTTTCTGCACTCTATCTTCGTATGAACTTAAAATAATATGCCAAATCTCACACTCCGTGCTCTCGGTTATTCCTTTTATGATCCACACTGTCGTTTCAGAGTATCCACCCACAAGGATAGATACTCGGATCGTACCTATTATCTACTTACTAGGGTATAGACGGGATGAATTATCGGAACTCACTTTTAATTGTTCTTCTGACGTTTCCCCCATTCAATTCTACAATAAATATACTCATAAGCTTTGATTATTATTAATTAACATTTATTAACCACAAACTAAAATAAAAATCTTATTTCATATTATATTAAAATCAAATTAAATTTAAAATAATTATATAATAATATTATTTAAAACGAGAAGTTTTAAATAATATTATTACGTAATGGATAAATTACCAACACTAATTTCATTATTAAGTAGACGCAATTTTATATCCTGAATAAATTCTTCTCTTTTAATGTACATTTGCAATTGTTTTCTTTGCGTTTTGCGCAAGAATTCTGAATTTTTTAAAAGCAATTTTACTGAATTTGGATGATTGTCTTTAACTTCATTTGAAATTGTTTCATATCAGGATTTTAATTTTAAAATGAATTAATAAATTTTATAATGTTTTACTAAACAGCCGATGGAGAAAATCGAAGGAAGAATAATTAAATAGTTCTGATTATCCTCCCCGTCTGGGGTGGATTGACGAACACGCGTTTCCGAGTATCCACCCTAGGGTGGATTGGGCTCGATAAACGGAATAACGGTTAAAAACAGATATTCTCATAGTAATTACTTGACTAGCGTATTATGTATAACAACAAGCTACGATATTACCTCTAGTTACTGCCGTTAATCCAAATGTTCTTGTTTTGAATGTGTTTAATTTATCATGTAATTTACGAGATAGATAGATAGGATACGAGAGATTGAGTAAGAATAGCTATTACCCTATATCATCCCGTGGGTGTCCTAAGAGGCTACAAAGAAAAACAAACCAGGAGATGATTAGCAACATCTTAATAACAAGTAGAACATTAAAAAAACTGCGTTTGACAACCCACTTGTTATTTATGGCAAAATCCTTATGAGGTACTATGGGAAGTCCTATGTTGAACGGTGGACTAGTTTAAATCGTTGGCTAAATAATATCTTTTTTTTATAGAATAAGGATGACAAACGAGCACACAATCCATCTGATGGCAAGTGGATGCTGTGGCCCATAGACATCTACATTTATTCTCAATTAAGAATAAAAGTGCAGATGCGTTTTCACCCCCTAGGTAGGTGAAATGCTTCAATAAAAAGAATCTCCGGTTTTCTACACTCAGCATACGAAACACAGCAACACTAAACTGTTATTTCACACTGGTAATCTGTGAGAGCGTGGTCATACCCCGATTAGGCTGACCCATTCATGCTACAAACATAATGTAGCTGCAGCGAAGATCTACCACGTAAATCCTATCGTACCTACGTAATCCATTGTATATTGCAACCATAGAAACACGTCATATTGCACATTCCAATTTCTACCTAGATATACGTTAAAAAGACGCTTTTGGTATCAATAATGTTACATATTATTTATTCTAACAAAATTTTAATTGCTGTTTTTTTTTTCAGAATTTACAGAACGAATAATATAAGAAAGGACGTAAAAAGACAAAAAACGATTTAGTTTTTGTTACTCGCAATAAAAATGGCAACAAATTACCGTTTAAATTTTGATTTACCTATGTTTCAATTACATATAGAGGTTCCGCTTCAGGATATTATTGTTGACGAATTTTCTGTTGCTCTATTAGAATGTAAAATATCAGCGCAGAAAATACCGTCGTTCACCTGGTATAAGGATGGGCAAGTAATAAGCCCTTCCGAGCGTATAAAAATTACTAGCAACAACGAATGGTATCGACTTGAAATTAAATCAGTTGCAGCACATGATTATGGTGTTTATACCATTATATGTTCGGACGGCATTAGACAAAGAATGTCAAAAGCTAACTTATATGTGCGACCTGTCAGGAACTTTTATGACAACTACGGAATTGTTTACATGAATCCTTGTCCACGGGAAAGCGTCGCAGTATTTCGTCATTTAATAGATTTATCATTACAAATAGGAGAACGCATCGAACTGGAAATAGAACTGAAGTCAGCGTGTGCCGAAGATTTCTTGTGGTATAAAAGCAATAATCTCATCGATCAAGATCCACGAACAATTATTCTTAAAGACAGTAAAACTTCAACTCTCTCGATACTTCGAGCTCGAAAAAGTGACACTGGACTCTATCATGTAGTTGCTAAAACTAATCGCGGTATAACGTCTAGCTTCGCCGAGGTTATCGTAACTAATGTCTTAGGTATAAAAGGGTCTATACCTAGTGTTATAGAACATTTTCCCGATGAGTTGGAAATATATGTTAAGGAGAATACTAGGATCATGTGCAAAGCCAAAATTGATTCTCATACTCTGACACGAATAAGTAAAGACGGTTTAGATATTTACGATCGTTTTAAAATTACGATAGAAGAATACGGTGGTGGATATATTGGCTTGGAAATAGTTGATCCATGTCTGCACGATGCTGGAGAATACACTCTTACGCTTCACCATTTAGTAACGGGTCTAACTCATTCGTCTAGTTGTTTTCTATCCATTCAAAGTAAGTTTCTTTTGATTGCAATTTTAACTTGCTTTTTGTACTATATTTATTTATTTTTTCATACGTAATATCTATGGTATTTTTGATTTCAGAACTTCCTGCGATAATCTTGCCGTTTATAAGGTTACTTAAACCGATGGATTCAGTGGTAGCGTGTTTTGGTTCAAAGCTAATTTTGAAATGTAGCTTCGATCTTCAAGGCTACGATTACTACTTCGTAAATTGGACCGTAGGCCACTTCAGAGTTGAGCGCTCCAATTATCGCTTTAACGTGAGTAACAATTTTTACAAAATTCCGTGAATGTCGTATTTTCATACGTTAAAAATAGCTTATTCGTAATATAAAACAGATAGTACTTTCGAATTTTTAACATAATAATTACTATGAACATTTGGAATCTGTTCCATTGGATCCGACATTTAAAAGCCTAATTTGCACACCAAGTTTGAGATTAGCGAACTCATTCATTTTAATTCCAATGAAAAGAATTTATAGTATTGTCACCAAATCAATTTCATTCGACGCTTGATAGCATTATAAATATCTGGTAAAATTAATACGATAAATTCAAAAACTGACGTATATTTAAAGATATTTTGACACTCGCTTATATTTTATCGAGCCTTTGATTTTTTAAAGCAAGGATCAAACTAACAATTTTGTTACCATGTGGAAAATTTATAGTGACGGTAGACCAAATATCACTCATAAAAAATAAAATTATAATATAATATAATTAAATGCTATGGGCCTTGCAGGTTGTATGCAACGGTGGAGACTTCTATCTAGTCATTAAACAACTGGAACCTGATATGGGAGGATTGGTTGCCTGCGAACTTCGTCGGCTCCTACCAAATCGGAGATCCATTTTAGACGTTACAATTTCCTCGAATATAATAATAGTCCCTCCAGCATTTTTTGACCATGAAATAACACTGTATAAAGCACGCAAAACAAAGTTTTATTATAGAACGTGTTCAAACATTACACACGCTGGTGTCGTCGAAGCTCCTTCAAGAAATTCAGAACGTGAAACACCAGGGGTTGTAAGTACCTACATCTCTCTTAAGTTATTTTTTTTTCATTCGTGTTGGTGTTAATACTATTGGGTAATGTACTTGTTATCTCTGAAGCGATTGCTATGCGAGTTTCGTCGCTTTGAGTAATAATTTAAGAGCTTAGCGATAAAAATTATGGCCAGGCTACTACATAACGAATATTGTCCTGCAAGCTTAAAATAATTACTTTCTAAAAATGAAAACAATTGTTACCGAATATTTAATAATAATAAGGGAAATTGATAGCGTGCGTTTTGTTACGTATTGTATCTGATTAGAACTCATATAAGTGTAGAAGTTAGTTATCAACGAGTAACGAAGCAGATCGAATGCATTCGCTACGCCATGCTTTCTGAAACATAGGTATTATAAAAGCACTCGTAAACGGGCTAGTTTTGTGGCAATCTCTACTTGCAATTGTATATATCAAGTTGTCGTCTGTATCACGTAACGCAGTTCAATGTTGCTTCACGTTTATGGACACAATCGCTCGGTGATTTAGTTGAATAAACATTGCTGGATATACTCCGTAAGGTGTTGTTCAACAACATTGTAGCAGAATTTGTCTCTGGCGATATTACCATGCCGAGCAAGGTTTCCCGCAAGATGCAATGTTTATGATTAATTTTAATATCGTTTATTTTATTTTGGTGTATGGATGTGTAAGGCCACACAGAAAGTTTTGCATGAGACGCTGACCAATTATAATTTATTTAAAAAAATACGATTCAAAATTATAAGTAAAATTACGAATGTTTCGATTTCATACTTCCCTCCACACTTTATAAGCTATATTGAAATATCGTGTTTCATTAAAAATGGACCTGCGTCGGAAACATTATTTTTAATTTATTATAATTTGAAAAACTCCGTTGTTCATCTTGTACTAGTTGTTTGTAGGAATGGCTCGAAATGAAACAAAACAAGTGCCATATGTTAGTAAACGTTTTCCTGCAATCTTGTCTAGAGGTGATTACGCCAATGATGATAGTTAGTGTCCTCTTCCGCAACTAGTATTTGTTTTATATCAGCTAATATACAGATTCTATGAGTACGACAACGAATAATTAAATTCTTAAGTCTTGTTGTAAGGGTGATTGTGGTTCAACCAGTGAACTCATCATTCAATGCTGTTCCATTAGATGGTTGCGCAACTCTTATATTAGTCACAGTGCTGGACTCCCTTATTACTGCGTGTGCGTGGTGTGATAAAAGATATTGTGTTTGAGTTTTTTCCTAGGATCTACATCTTCCATATAATTTAGATTTTGATACTGGTCTATAAAATCTTTGTAATCTTGTCGAAATTTAGGTTTTCTTTTGAACCTTTGCTCCTTGTGATAAAGTCTAATGAGTGCTATTTGTTTTGAATCACCTATATTCTTCACAGTTGAACCTTTGAATAGTAAGCACTCTATACACCGCCCGTCATTGTTTCTTGTTGTTGATCAAGTTGTGCTAAAGGTTTCTCAAATGGTTTGTATTCTTCTATCTCCCAAAACTTGCATAATATTTGATCAACCTCTACTAAATTTGTTGTAACTACCACTGTGTGTGCAAGTTGATAAAATTATGTTTGAGTAGCGCCTAACTGTACGTGTACACCAAAACCGATTTTGTCGGCCTATGGTGGACTGAACTACTCAGATGAGTAACTCGGACGAGTATGTGCTTACACTGTAATAGTGTACCACTTATCTCGACATTTGACTTTACCTGTATTCTTTTATATATTTATATTTTCAATATCCATAGTCGTTTAGATAGATAACAACACTGACAGAAAAAACAGAATGAAGACAAAATGATTAAATTAAACTATAAACACACTCAATTTGCACTGTAGACGCCGGCAGTCGGTCGAGAAATCCTAACAACTTTGGACTCCACGGATGATCTGCCGTTCTCGGGTATTATCGTCCGATCGATCTATCCTAAATAATTCACTGAATTCTGCTTTTTTCCCTTCAGCTTGGAAAGACGCATTTGTAGTTCCTCTGCCGAAAAAGTCGAATCCTTCTAGTTTTTCTGATTATAGACCTATCTCTATTTTGCCTTTCTTTTCCAAATTTATAGAACGTCTTGTGCACGATCAATTAAGCACCTATCTTTTAAAACACAATCTTTTAAATCCGTCCTGGCCATAGTAAGACTACTGCACTTTTACAAATCGCTGATGATATTCGGTATGGTATGGAGAAACAAAAGCTTACCATTCTCACGTTGCTTGATTTTAGTAACGCATTTAATAACATAAACACTCACGCCTGTCACCCAGAGGGGTAGGCAGAGACTACGGACTTCCATTTGGCACGATCCTGACATATCTCTTTCGCCTCCTTTACATCCATATATCTACGCATACATGCTCGTCGGTTAAGGGTACTTCTAACGTGGCCCCTTTTCAAAATATCGCCAATTTGGTCGATAAACTTTTTTCTAGGGCGTCCCTTCCCGACTCGGCCGTTCACATCTGCCATATAATTTTGCTTTGTCACTCTTTCCTCATTCATTCTTTCTACATGACCAAACCACCGAAGCATTCCTTTCTTAATCCTGGTCACAACATCATCTTGCGTACCACATTTATCTCTTATTACGCAATTTCTCACCCTGTCATTCAGATTCAACCCTAGCATATTTCTTAAAGACCGCATTTCTACAGCATTTATTCTACTTTCGTGCTTCTTCTGCCACACCCAGCTTTCACTACCATACATTAAAGTAGGGACTAACACAGCATTATGAATTACCATACGTGCCTTTTTTGACACATTCTGGTTCTTCACAATAGAGTGTAGTGCCCCATTCACTCTATTCCCTGCATTTACTCGTCGTTCTATATCCCTATCATATCTACCATCCCTGCTAAATACACATCCCAAATACACAAACTCATCCCCTTGCTCAATTAACTCTCCTTCTATTCTTATTTCACATACCGTTTTGCTTTCTTCTCTTTCAAAAACCATCACTTTCGTCTTACTTGCGTTCACTTTCATTCCCCTTTCTTTTAATTCCCAGTTTATTAATGTAACCATCATTTGCAACTCAGCCGCCGATGACGCAAATATGACTTGATCATCGGCATACAGAAGGCATTTGACGGTTAACTCGCCCATTCTTAACCCACATTCTTCATCTTTCAAAGTTTGCAAACACCTGTCCATAAATAGGTTGAACAGCTAACGGGAAGCTACACAGCCCTGTCTGACACCTTTTTGGATGCCAAACCAGTCCGAGTAGACCCCATTGATCCAGACACAAGCACTAGAGTCCCTATAAAGAGATCTTAATGCCTGTATCAAACCAGCGCTCAACCTATATGAGTTCAGTGTTTGCCATAACACATTCCTGTCCACTCTGTCATAAGCCTTTTCCAAGTCCATAAACGCACAAAAAACTTTCTGGTTTTTGGCCAAAAACTTCTCCGCAATCATGCGCATGGAAAAGACTTGATCTGTACACCCCATTCCCTTTCTAAAACCCGCTTGCACATCCCAAATAATTAACTGTAGATTTTGATATCTTGTGAGGCATCCTGCGCTCTCTAAACATATCTCCAACTGTAGTTGACTGGTTTCGAAGTTACTTGTTTGGTCACCGACAGCGAGTTCAGGTGCAAGAGGTTTTTCCACCTGGATTACTACAGCTGCTGGTGTACCACAATGTGGCGTGTTGTCTCCTCTCCTGTTAGCAATTTTCATTAACTCTATAAGTCATAATTTGTCCTCTTCCTACCACTCGTATGCCGATGATCTCCAAATCTATATTCAGTCCTTTCTTGAAGACCTGTCTAAAGCATTTGACATTATTAACGCTGATCTGACTTATATTTCGAACTGGAGTAAATGTTATGTTAACGATTAATCCTAAGAAAACTCAGGTCATTGTCATCGGTAGTTCTAGATTAATTGGAAAAATTGACGGGTCTTCCCTACCTCCTATTATACTAGACTGCACTCTAATCCCTTACAGTAGCAAGGTTAAAAACCTGGGGTTGTATCTCGACTCCTGTATGTCTTGGACCTCACAGGTTATTGAGGTCAGTAGAAAAATGTTTGCTGCGTTAAGCTCTTTATGTAGATTACGTAATTTTCTTTTCACAGCAACTAAAGTTACGCTGGCCTAGTCTTTACTTCTGCCTATCCTTGACTATGCTGATATTTGCTATCTTGACATTACCGAGGAGCAGCTTAATAAGCTTGAGCGCATTAAAAATTTATGCATTAGATTTATATTTGGGCTTCGCAAATATGACCATATCTTCGAATTTTGCAAGCAGCTCAAATGGCTCCCGATCCGCCTTCACAGGAATACTCACATTCTCTCCACGTTGTATCCGTGCTGTTTAATCCTTTCACTCCTTTTTATTTAAAAAACCGTTTCCAGTATCTTTCCCTTACCTATAATCGGTTCCTTCAATCCTCCGTCAATCTTTCTCTCTCTACACCTTTGCACTCTTCTTCCTTTTTTAAGAAATCCTTTACCGTAACTGCTGTGCGATTGTGGAACTTTTTACCTCTCTATATTCGTCGTGCTAAATCGCTTCACTCTTTCAAAAGTCTTGTTAAATCGTATTACTTAGAACGCTATTAGATAAATTTACTTTACCTTTCTCGTACTCTTTTCATTTAATCTATTATATGATATTTTATGTATAATGTTCACTTATCTTTGTATGCATTTTTATATTTTTTACTATTATTTTTTATGCCCCCCTCTGTTTTAACTTTTGTTTGCATCATTTCTCTACGCAAAGCTTGTCTGGAATAAATCACTTTCAGAGTGATAAGACCGCCTATTATATGTACAATATTCTAATTTAGTTTTAACTGTACTTGATGTTTTTGTATTGTGGTGTACAATAAAGAGTAAATAAATGCATAAAATAAATAACGGTCGTGTTTGTGTAGCGCTCTCTTTGTTTTGCAAGTATTATCCGAGTTCGGCCGTCATCGCCCGAGCAAACTTTGGCCGATGACGGA